ACATTTTGCTATCCACGCTTCGATAGTACAAAAATGATGACCAGAGAAGGCAGGGGCTCACGCATGGCGAGTGGCTGAGACCGTACCGGAACATTCTAGTCACCCTTTCAAACACTATTTGGGTTACTTACACTCACACACAGCCTTCTCCTCCCACCCGCCCCCAACATTTATCTAGCTTTTAGGATTTTTTCCCCACTGTTTTTTTGGGCAGCTGCTTTGGTAAGCAGTGGGGGAGAAACGGAGTGATTGTGAAGGCAGAGGGGGTCACAAGACACATTTACACAAGTTTCTTCCCCCCTTCAAAGTTCCTCAAAGACCCTAAGAGAGAGATCAAGTCCGTGCTGTTTGGGGAGCCGGGTGTGTTGTGTGTGCGGCCCTGGATCCAGGGAAGCCAGGAGGGCACCCGCCTCTGCTGAGCAGCGCAGGAAAGGAGAGCCCGGCCTCAGTGCCAGGCCTGGGGCGGATGTTCCGCAGGGTGGGCGGGAGCCAGGCCGTGGGGCCGTGGCAGGCTAAACAACGGTCGCTCCAAAATGCCCACGCCCTATTGCCTGGAACGTGCGAGTGTGACTTTGGGTGGCAGAGATTTAGTGGCGGTGTTTAAGACTCTTGAGATGGGGAGATTATCCTGAGTTACTCGGTGGGCCCTAAGGGTGACAGGCAGTGTGTAAGAGAGGGAGGTGGCCAGACATGAGGAAGAGAAAGGGGCAGCAGGAGCTGAGCTCGGAGTGGCTTTCCCACTTAGGAAAAACCTGGTTGACAAGTAAGTGGAAATAGCAAACGGACAGTGGAATCTGGGGCTCTGGACCCCAGAGGGTAGCCGGGCCAGAAACCTGAGCATCATGAGCATCTGAACTTGCGGGAAGCAGCAGCAAAAACCCCTCAGTACACCGGCAGGTAGGGTATTTGAAAATGACAGCTGCTCGCGCTCTCTCTCTCTCTCTCTCTCTCTCACACACACACACACACACACACACACACACACACACACACACACACACAGAGCAGCCAAAACCACAACTGGCCAGGGCTTCATGGAGACCATGGGGAGTCAATAAATATTTGCTGCAATCTAAGTACTTTGGGAAGAAAATGAAATAATCAAAGCTGAGCAAAATTCCAAGCAAGGCTTGATGCCATCCAATCACTGCCCATTGTTTTCATTTCTCAACTCCGGCTCTTTCCTTTAAAATGATAGTGCAAGGAGAGCCGAAAGGACAGGGGATAGATTGCTAAATAATTGAAATTTAAAGATAAAATGTAAATATTTAGAGATTAGCGCTATCTTAAAGATAGGGCAGATGGATGGGTGAGTGGGTGGGCCGCTGGCTGGATGAACAACCAGGAGGGATGGACAGAGGTTCTAAAAACATTGCTTCATATTTGAAACACGGTGACTAATTTAAGCAATCACCCAAAGAGGTAACCCAGAGGGAAGTTTGCTTCAGGAGGCCAAAGCAGGCTTTAGATTTATTATTTCTCTACCAATATGAAGAAACCTATCTACACTGATCAAAAGATTGAATTCCTAAGCGGGGGAAGAGTCGCCTCTGCAGGACGAGGGACACACGTGAACCCCGCCCCCCCGCCCCCGCCAGCGGCCACGACTCGGTTTAGAATATTAGAGAAAGTTTGTTGTGACAGGCTCACCAGGGAGATAAACTATCAGTACTTGATAATCCAAAACTAATTACTGATACATCAGACACTGTCCTCCCATCAATACCGTAAGCAAATAATTCCACCATGGACTCTGAGGACAAAATATGAAAACACACAGTTAAGGAAAGCTCCCAGGAGTTACCCAGATGGGCGGCAGTTCACCACAGCTGGAGGGCAAGCAGAGGGAAGAGGCGCAGGCTTTGTGCAAAGGCAAAAACACCCCCATTTTATGCAAAGTCCCTGGCTTGGAAGACCCGAGGTTGCTGTCAGTTCTGCCAGCAGGACCCGGCCCAGCCAAGGTTGGCGAGCCCAGCCCAGGCCTCACTCCGCTCCTCTGTGGAGACAAGAGCGGCTTCACCAGCCTTTCCGTGTCCTCCGGTTGTTGGGGGGCACAGGGCCCACGGCCCAGCCAACTTTGCAGAAAACCACAGTTTCAGTGGAAAATCACTCTGGGTTTCTGGCTCATCAGCAGTACTGCACATCTAATTAGCTCAACAATTGGTCCCTGTGATAAAAATCAGCTAATTTTATGTTCAAATGGCTGCTCGGTGGTAAGCAATCCTGTCACTCTCCACTCGCGGAAGAAGAAGCTGCTGAAGAGGCGGGTTACAGGGGGTCACTGGGGGCGAACTAGCGAAACTGTTAAATTAGTAGCCGGAGTCAGGGCTAGAATGAGCGCACAGGGTCCCCCCAGGGCTCAAGTAAGTGGAATCCCCATGATGGAGCGACAGCACCAGTGGCAGATCTTGAAGGGGAAAGTAGCTGACAGAAACGATGGCTTGAGTCATCTGAACTCTCTCCCGCTCCCCAGAAACACACCCAGACGTTTCCCACGAGCAGGCCATCCCCAGAGGGGAGCCTGGCACTTGGGGGGGGGGCGCCCTCCCTGGAGGAAAGGCCTCTGCTTTGCAGGAATTTGCTCCAGATGGTCCTCGATACAATACCCAGGGTCGCGACTCCAGGGGTGTCGACCTCTCCAGCCCACCTCCCGTCACTGAACTGTTAGGGCGAATGGCGATATCTGAGTCTCCCCTATTTTGAGGGATCTATTAGAAACCACATTATTTTTAAGGCAAATGTAAAAGGACAGATGAACTCGATGGTGTAGAAGTTCCTTACGCCACCCTTCACTGAAAACTAGCTGTGGCGGGGGCGGGGGATAGATTATCAATTATACTGACTGAAGGGACCGTGAGCGCTGCATGTATGTTTCAGAGCTGGCACAAGAGACGCACGAGCACTCACACCATTCCACAGAGACACAGAGCCTCGTCCTGTATCTCAACGCACGTCACAGCTGTGCAGGTATCCCAGGTACATCAATGACACCGTTTATACAAAGTGTGTAACAGTCCTTCACACCACGTAAGTGCCCTGGTACTACATGGCTCCAGAGAGGGGACGTTCTAGAAGGTGCTGCTGGGCTGTCTCACCGCCGAGCGCATGTCACAGGGATCAATGGCACAGACCCAGGCGTGCAGCGGCCCTGCACCGGGTCATGTCCAGGCACCACCATCACAGATGCCATCGGTCCCTGACCAGAGCACGGGGCACGCAATGGTGGCTCTTACAAGTGCCCACCACATCACACGTCTGCATGTTGCATAAACGGCCAGGAGATGACCATGTGTAATCGCTGTGGCTGGATAAAAATTAAACTTGTGTTTTTCTTTCTCTGCTTTAACAGAAGTGCCCGAAAGTCACTGAATTGTGGTATATGCGGTCAGTGAGTGACCTGTGGGGTGCACGGGGGCCCTCAGAGGTGCCATCAGCCCCTCTACAGCTCCTCTCCAGCCTGGCAGCAGTGTGTGCTCTCTGCCAGGCACCTGCTGTGCCCTCTCACCTGCCAGCTGCCTCCCTCCTCCTGCCACAGGGATGCCGCACCCTGCGCCCATCTACACCTAGAAGGGCAGGGAGCCCGCAGTGGAAGGCCCCCAGGGGACAAAGGCCCCCCTCCTCCCTCAAAGAAGAAACCCCCAGCTCCCAGAGCAGGGCACCTGGTACTGGTACGTGCCTCCTCTGTCCTTTCCCGGCCCCTTCCTCCAGCCCCACGAAATCACACAGCCCGAGGCGCAGAGCCGTCCGTCCACAGACCTCTCGGCGGTCACCGTGCACTCACCGGGGCGCACCAGGGAGGCGCCTGGTCCTCTGGTTCCTGAAACGGCGACAGCGTGGCCCTGGGCGATGTCACAATCACCCTGCTCAGGCGCGCTCGGACGGGGTCTCCCTAGGGTGACTGTGAGGAGGCCACTTGGCCCTTAGCAGAGGCTCCAGGGCAGGGGGACAGAGGAGCTCCCGCTGCAGCAACTCTGATGCCAGAGGCACTGGGCTCCAAGGCTTGGAACCCCGAGTCTCCAGCGAGGGAGCCAGTCCCACATGCCTCAGCCCCTCAAGCTCACATGTACCCCCATCACCTTCTACTGGACCATTCAGGGAAAACCAGCCGCGTGTGGTTATTTAATGATGCACTTACAGTAATTAAAATGAAATAAGACAAAGCTGTCACCCCCCCAGTTGCATGGTGCAGGGGAGTTACTGCACCCCAGCAGAGCGGTTACTGGCCACGCGTGGCTGCCCGGCACTGGGAATGTGGCCACGGCCGTGAAGTCCTAAAAATTAAGGCAGCTCAAATTGTTCATAAAAGCACTAAATCCCTATAATTGGAGGAGTTTTTTCAAAATACAAATTAATAGTGGAAATAAGTATTTTGTGCGTAATTTGTTATCACTGAAAAGTATTTTTATCAAGTCAGTTTACTGTACCAGCAAGAGAGAGCGCATCTAGGTCGAACTGTCCGCCCCCCATGGAGTCCCCACCCCCAGCACGCCCCAGAGCATGACTTCACAGAGGCCCCTGAGTTAAAATTTGGTCACTGGGGGGGCGCTGATCCAGGGTGACCGGAGTTCTTACGAAGGGGGACATCTGGACACAGACAGACGGGCACACGGGGAGGACGATGAGGAGAGCCGGGAGGAGACAGCCGCCGACCTGCTGCTGAGAGGCCCACGGCGGGCCTCCCCGCGCCAGCCCAGCCAGCCTGGGCACGGGCCGCCTGCCCCTGAGCTGTGGGGCTGCGTCGCTGTCGCCCCCGGGTGCGGAGAAGAGGAGACAGTGATTCAGAGGCGGGTGGAGAGGGACAGGAAGGAGGAGGAGCCGACGTGAAGCCACGTCCAGATGCGCTGATTTTAAAAAGACACGCTCAAGGGCTGTCCCTGAGAGCCTCGGCCGCACATCCTGCGACTCCCAGAGGGTGAGCGCCATTTCCAGATTGTGCGCGGCGGAGCGCGGCGCCAGACGAAAGAACCAACCTTCCCCAGAGGGGCCGCGAGGGCGCCTACCTTCTGGTAGTCCTCCCTGGAGCGCAGGGCGGCCTGCAGGTGCTGCGCGCAGGTCGGGTAGACGGCCGAGCGGTACTGGGACCCGTGGTCGTTGCCTTGCCGCAGGCCTGGGAAAGCGGAGACAGGGTTAAGGGGGCCGGCAGGGCGCGGGGCGCACTGTCACTGTGACGGCGTCTCACGGAGACAGCGCTCCCCTCAAAGAAGCGGGAACCAAACACGATTTGACCGTTTTACTTAAAACACATGTCCTCGGACTTTTAACCGCCGGGCTGGGCCACAGTAGATGCTCTGCTAATGCGTATTTTTCGAGGCAGCGTTAAATCACAGCCCGTTCTGGCCGCCACCTGCAAAGCACTGTGATGCACTTCCAGGATCCTAAGGAAGCCCCTCCAGCAGGTACTGCTGCCCCTCACTTGGCAGGTGAGGAGACGGGGTAATCCCTGGGAGTGCGGCTCACGTGGTGCTTGGCACACAGGTGGTGACAGTGAGCAGAGCTATGCGGTGAGGCGTTTGCCTCAGATCAGTTTGCCTGCATTAAAGGATCACCCGGGACTGGCAGCCACCCAGCACCCGGCCTCCCTGCTGCAGAAGGGGAGTGGACACGGGGGCCCCTTCTATCCGGGCAACAGAGTCCCCAGAGTTCAACAGCCACAGGCTCAGCATGGATGTCCTACCGCTCTCCATGCTGTAGTCAAAACAAACTCAGCCAACTTACTGGAACATTCAAGAACCAGCTTCATTTTAACTAGTGCCCCCAAACTCCTGTGGTTGAAGTTGGCCTCCCAACAGGAGCAGCTATAATTGCAATAGTAACGCACCCCATCTGGTGCGAAGCAGCAGACAGATCCTGGCTCAGCAGGTCTGGGGGGGCCCGAGATCTGCATTGCTCACCTGCGTACAGGTGGCACGGGTCCTAGACCACACTTCCAGCAGCAGGGTTTAGAGTTTGCCCAGATATTTTCAAGGTTCCCTTATTTGATCTGTCAGCAGTGTTTTGAATTTCAAACCAGGGAGACCAGGCGTGATGCCCCTCTGCACCCCACCAGCATGCACGCTCTTCCCACTGGATGTTCCAGCCCATCCCTCTTGTTCAAGTGTCTTCTCTGCCAAACCTCCCTGGACGCCCTCACCACTGTGACAGCCCCTGGCTCCCCAGGCCGTGCAGGGCCCCTCTTGGGAGGCTTCATCACCCAGCAGCGCCATCATCTGATCACTGCCCTTCCTCTCCTTCCACACGGCGGGCGTTACCCCTCTACCTGGTCTGGTGCAGGCAGATGGGCAAAGTTCTACGAGTATCTGTTGCATGAAGAAGGTGCAAGTGTGTGTCTTGTCATCCAAGGCCCTGCATTAACACCGGAGCCTGACTCAAAGTGCTGTGTCATGCTAGCTTTGTAAATGGAAATTCAGAAAGAAATGAAATCCTCTTTCTGAAGACCATGGGGAAGGGCTGCAGGTGAGCTCCTTTGTTTGACTTTTACTGGGCGAGCAAGTGCAGTCGCTTGAGAACACCGAAGGCTCCCTGAGGCGGCCAACGGCTCAATGAGCTAGAATTCACCCCCAAAACTGCAGGCCCCAAAAGGGTGAAACACTAACAAACTAATAGGATTTAGGGTCGGGCCACAGGTTACCTAAGGGGTGTGTGTGCCAGTGTGGGATTCTGATGCCTGCTCCCTCTCACCCCGGCGTCCATTCTCCCCCCTTCAGAGTCTTCCACCGACAAAGGTCACAGGGGGCCAGGGAACTAATCAGTGGCTCACAGAGTCAATACCAAAAATGACCAACACATTAATTTAATAATGCATAATAAACATAAACCAGTCCATGCCTCTAATCAGTATCACGTAATATCAAATAAGGATACCTATTTCACTCCTGTGTAAGCTACGTATTCAGCGAAGTAGTGCGGCAGTATCATGCAACACTGGGCGCTGCAGGGGGGCACTTGCAGCATGCACAGCACAAGCACGGTCACAGCATATTGTTCTTGTCACATCGCTATTATAACAGATTGCATAGATCACATATTAGACATGTGTAATATATTAACACGCGACAATAACACAATATGATGGGTTATAAAGAAAGCCCAGGCTTCACAGAGCTCACTTGCCATCGGAACCTCGAGACTGGGGAATAAACATTTACGGCACTTTGGCAATTTCTTCAGTTTTCCCTTCTTCACATACACGGAGGGATATTCTGGAATATTCTTCCCTACCTTTTGTGCACAGTGACATGGTGGCAGCATGACTGATCCTTCTGAAACATCGTCCAGAGAGGAAAAAAAGGCTGCCGGGCGGCCGATCTTCAGTCAAACCTGACCCCACCCCATTCGCGCAAGCTGCAGAAAAGCAGGCTCCGCGTGGGGCTGCTGGGGTCTTCTTTAGTTTTCTCTCTTTTGCAAGGGAAGTTAGTAGTGAGTATAAGAGAACCTGCAGGTGTGATTTATTTACATTTTTAACAAGTTTCACTAGATCCTATGTGCCTTATACACCGAAGACAATAAATACGTGTATTTGCTTGCAGGTCTCTGAATTATCTTAAGAACAGAGGAAATTGTTGCTTATGGATAAAAATGGACTTTTTTTGTACACAAAGTGGGAATGATGAAGAATCATCCCAGAGAAATGGTGCAATCATGGCCTCCGCTGAGTGTATTCTCAATACACTGGTAAGAGATGTACAATGAGACCCTCAATTTTACACCGTATTTAGAGCTTTTCTTATAGTTACATGACAACCTAAGGATAGAAATATCTGGAAACTTTCACAAAATTGTGTAGTTGGGCAGAGGAGAGGTGTACACCGGAGTCTGGGAGGGGATGGAGGAAAACTCCAGAGTCTTGGCTCAATCTCCTCGTGTCTTGAGAAATAGGGGACAAGACTCTGCCTGCTCATGAGTAACAATATCCATTTAACTGGATCATTTCCCCAAAGTTTCTAGGAGATTTTCTAACGTCAAACACAGTTGGGCACAGCCACAGATGTGTGTGTGCACGTGTGTGTGGCTAATTCTGATGCAGGCACCTTTCTGTTCGCTGATGACAGGGTTTGTGAAAGGAACAGGAGCCTGAAATTTGCAAGCAGGTGGTTCACCAGGAAACATGATTTGATGCTGAACAGACTGAAAAGCCTATAGAACCGCAGACGTCCCGTCCTCACTTTTAACTCGTCACACTTGCAGGTGTTCAGCACTGAACTTCCTACCACTTCTTTCAACCTCCACTGGTTTAAGCTCTGAGCGGAGCGGTGACTCACATGCGGGAGAAGCTGTTCACGGACCCTCCGGGAGGGTGCCCAGGACACGGAGCTACAAGACCTGGTTCTGAGTTTAAGTCTAAGCGCTGACATGTTTTATGCAAATCGCCTCATCTCTCTGTGCTTCCAACCTCATTTGTAAAACAAGGATTATAAGGGTCTGACCTGCAGGCTTGTTGGGAGGAAAGAGATGAAACCGGGATGTGCTTGGCTGACTCTGGAAAACGGCAGAGGCGTCAGAACATTGACTTCTATGCTGTGACACTCACGAAGAGCTTCACTACTCTGGACAATTCTGTATCTATTTTTCCCTTTCTCCCTCCCTTACCACGCAGGGGTTCCTGGTTCCGTCTTTGGTCGACACCTGCCCTTCCAGGGACCCTGCAATGGACTCTCTCGCTTTCTAAATGGAGAACTTACACGTCAACATGGACGACCCAAGCGCGGGTTCAGGCTCATCATGAAAGTCACATTCCTGTAGGACATTCTCCCGTCTGGGCTCCATTGTCCTCAACTGGACCTCATTATCTTTCACCTCTCTCGCCCCTATCGACTGGCAAGCTCATCCTCTCAGCACCCGAGTCCACTCCCGAGTGATCCATGTTCCATTTGCGCCTTTTCATGCCTCACACCAGGCTGTCGTCTGGACCCGCCTGTCTTTCCTGTAGCGCGTCCTCTCTCGCCGCCCTCCTCGGCTCCGCCAGCCCAGACCCGGCTGCTCAGGGCTGCGGTGGTCAAGTCCCGAAGAGCACCTGGGACCCGTAGGGCCCAATTCAGGGTTGCTTGGTAAGTGCTTCCTGGTCGTGTGGGCTGAATAAATGATTGGTAGTTTCTTGCAATAGTGGGTCATTCCGCTGCGTAATCCTCACGCAACTCCCAGAACCAAGCGCTGAATCTCTCACTCCTCTTCCCAGGAACAGTCGAAGGACATTGCTGCTCAGACCTTTCCATGCTCAGAGCAAAGTGAGCAAAATCATACAGAAAAATGGACGTGGTCAGCAACTCTCCTGTAAAACCCGCTCAATTTCACACCTCCTACCCGGGCTCATGGTGCGGAGGGGTTTGTTACGGCTGTGAACGTCAGGACAGCAGCGCGCTGGCCAGTGACTCTCAGTCCATGTTCACCAGAGTAAGATGCTTTTGAAAACTGAAGTGAAAGCAAGTCAAGCCAAATCGCCTTCAACAATCCACTGGATTTAGGACATAAATATGCTCAATTCCTGATTTTTCAATGAAGTCATCCCAGGACATTACAATGAGTCAAACGCTGGACGTTAAGATCAGCTAATGGTGACCAGCAGCGAGGGGAGGGTGCCCCGGGAGGGCTGGGCTCGGGCACGCAGCCGTGCACTTGGTGTCGTGTGCGCACACGCTGATCGTCAACGATGAACACCTGAGATGGACTCAGCGTGCCAACGCAGTGCTACTTCAATTACATTTTTCCTTCAATTAAAAACATTTTTAAAGAAATGTGAGCTTCCATGTGATTTGGGTTAAGCATGAACCTTCGGCTGCAATTCTGCTCACAGGACATGGCACAACACGGTCACTGGAGGAGGCGAGAGAGTCCGCGCTGCTTCAAAGAGGGGAGGAAAAGCTAAGACGTCATGACCACACTGGAAGTGAAATTTAAGTGCTTTCAAAGACGCCGTTGGACGGCTGATGAGAGGAAGGGGGACGCCGAAGGACTCTCTGCGAGTGCCAGCTTGCCCTGGCGGCTCTCGCTGTGTGGGGCTGTGCGCACCGCGGGGCGTGCAGCAGCTTCTCCGGATTCTACCAGCCGCTGCCAGCAGCACCCACCTGTCCCGACAATCAGAAATCTCTAGACACTGCCAAATGTTCCCTGGGG